TGCAACTTTTTAAAAGAAAAGGAATTGAAACATACCTCGCAAATGAGAGTGAGGATAAGGTAATTGATCGTTATATGTCGATACAATGCAAGGGTGAAGCAAATGAGTAGTAGCAGATGATGCATTAAAATCGAAGGGATAAATCCACTATATAGTCGGTATTGCAGCATATCTCGCTGATCATATGCAAAGTAACCACACGAGAAGCACAGGGCCTGGTATGCCCATGGCCAAGTACCCTCAACAAGTTGCTTATGCTCAAACATCCTCTTCAAACCAGTTACGGACCATTGATTAACCAGAATGAAAATCACTGCAGAACAACCGAACTTAAGAAAGCTAAGAAAAAAAAAGTAGCATTATCAAAACAAAACTGCTTGGAAATGAACAATGGAACTCAAGAAAGCTAAAAAAAACGTAACATAATCAAAACAAAACTGCTCAGAAACAAAAGGAAGATTATGCTTATGGACTTAATTGTGTTGGAGTACTCGATATGGAGATACAGCCTCCAAGGATCGTCCAAACATATGATATGGAGATACTACCATACCCACATATCCATATCCAGTACACCCTACCCTCTCAACCAAGTCCAATTAAGATAGGGATAGCTTACTCATCAAAGATGTTATGAAACATGCTCCTTACTCGGCATATCAACATAATGCACGACCATAGAACTAAATTATTGTAACGTTTTTTGAAGATCACCACGACACCGCATCCACAATTTAGAAACATAGTTATTTTTGGAAACAAATCACAGTGTAAGGTTCACAACCAACCGTTAGTACTATATGCACGACTATTCATCAGGTAACAACTATTTTGGTCATGAACAAGGACCAACCAATACCATACCCTTAACACTGATCTAACTAATACAACAGTTTCAGGCTTAAGCTTGAAGTGATGTTCTTAGCAATACACTCCTATGCAAAATTAAACAAATCTCTTCAAAATAGCTGAGCAAAAAACTCAAACGGTACAACTGTTTAGAAGGAAAGCCCTAAAAGCTAGAAACAATTAAACCTAAATCTCTGCCAACAAATGAAGCAAAGATCAGCTACCCAAAATATAAAACACACAATCAAAGAATGAAGGAAACAAATACCCAAGCTAGAAATATCCAATCAAAAGCCAAAAGTGAAGGAAAAGCAAAGGGAAATGATAGGAACCTGAAGTGGAAGTTATTGCAGAGTGAAGGAGAGAAACGGAGGTGTTAACAAAGAGAGGGTCACGGGAGACACAGAATCTAATGACCCAATTAGCTAATTGGTAAAAACAAAGTCCGGCAACTATGTAAATGAGCTCTGTCCGCTTGTTGAAGACGATTTCGAAGAAAAAAGTGATCGCCCAGAGAAGCAGAGTTGCTGAAAAGAAGACAGCTGCTTTGGTGCTGCTCCAACTTTGATGCGTTCGAGGCATTGCTTTGGCTGCTTATGAAGAAAATGTTTAACGGTGAAGTGAGAAGGGGAGAGAAAGAGTTTGCGTCTTTGGAGGAGGAGATGTGATTGCTTCACTAACGCGCAAACTTTACTCCGCTTGTCCCCTTGGAGCGAAGCTTCGTTAAAATCGAGTGTAAAATGTAAATAATCCCAGTTCGGTATTGATTTTAAAAAGTAAACTTGAAAAATGTTGTGAAAAATATATTTTTAAAAAGTATAATTTAGATTGGGTAAACTACATAAATGTTCACTAATGTTTGAGTAAGATTTCATTTTTATTACTAAAGTTTTAAAACTAACAAATTGATTACTACGTTATCGATTTATAACAAATTGATCATCCACTTTTAACAAACTTTAACATGCATAATAAAATATTGATGTGACACATTATAATCATATTCACCACTCTTGATTTCTACAAAATATTTTTAATAAACCCCCTCTTTCATTTCCACCTTTCCTTCTTTTATATGTCTTTCATCATCTTCCCTACAAGAGGAGGTATGAATCGAATGTCGGGATGAATTCCACATTGTCACTCTAGTGATCTTACCCTGATGCACAGGCAGAGACAGTTAGCAGACGCAAAGGTTGAATTGTTGAATATCTCTAAAGTTGGAGCTTGTCGATGCATTGGTTGAGCGTGAATGGCAAATGTTCCTTCAAAGAAGCATGCTCGATCTGATTCATGATCATGTATCACATAAAAACGATCAGTCAGCCATATAAAGGATGAGAGCTAAGCTTACTGAGAAATTAGAAGGGTTTTTTTTACTACCTCTTCATCAGCCCTTTTATTCGCAAAACACTTCCCTCAAAGGCTTCTAAAACAGAACATACGAACTCGATTGAAAGTAACAGATAAACAACTTACATGTAGCAGTCAGTCTCATCAGTACAATTTCCAGTTCTCACAGAATCAAAATTATGTTGTTTATTTCTTCCTTCGGCATCGGTAGAGAATGCATTCGAACTCTCCTTGAAATCTTCATTCTTATTGCTGTCGTTTTAGACAACAGATGTTCTAACTATAAACATAAAACAAGATCAAGACAAGACTAATGTTTCAACCTGCTTTTGGTAAACAAAATCTAAGTTCTACCCCGTAAACAAAATGTCATAAGCATGCATAAACAAAGACCTGAATCAAACATGTAACTTCATAAGCATGCATAAACAAAAACCCGAATCAAACATGTAACAATATTAAAAAATGTGGAAAGATTGTAAGTTAAGAATGAGATGGGATCTCTTAGTCTTGTAGGGTCTTTCATTGTTAAAGAAGATGATGAAAGACCAAGCTGAAAAGGAGAAAGGGAGTTTATTGAAAAGAATATTTTTTTTTGAAGTCAAAGAGTGATAAACATGGTTATAATGTGCCACATCAGCATTCCATTACCCATGTATTAAAGGTGTTAACCGTGAGTGATTGGTTTGTTATAAATTGATAACGTTAGTGACTAAATTATTAGTTTTGAAACTTCAGTGAGGAAAATGATCATTTGTATAATTTACCCTTTAAAATTTAACTCTCCAAGATTTTTTAATAAAAAATGATTTTAGAAAGATAAAATATTTATTTAAGACATTATGTTATAAATTTAAATTAAATAATTAAGCATAAAAATATAATTTAATCCAAAAGCCACACCAAAAACTAAAATATACGAGGTCTTAAGTTGAAAATTAATTTTTAAAACATAATTTTAATTTAAATGTTTGATGTTACTTATGGAGTAGAAAAGTACTTTTCCATCATCAAAAACATTCTCGAACTCACAAACTACTGGCACAAAAATTACAAGTACTCCAATTAAAATTAAATTTAACTCGACTTCAAATAATTTAAATTATTAAATAACTTGAATATAAAAATTTTAATTTTCAATTCAAATATCTTTTAAGTTTAATTGAATTTTTTATAATATATATAATAACACTAAATTATTGCTTATTATATACATATAATTAAAGTCCAGAGCCTACTTGCGTAATTTTAAATATTTTTAAAGAGTTTTTTTTTCTATAAGAGAAGTCACTAAGATATCATTCGCCAAGCCAAGCTGTCATTTATAGATAGATTTATTTAAAAGTTAAGATGTTGATACCAAATTTGAAGGTTTCTAAATTTAAAAAGATTTGACTAAAATATTACGTTTGGGAATGGAGTTTGGTTAAATTTGTTTAAAATATATGTTAAATTTAAAGTTTTAATGATCAAGGCCTGAATCTAATCTCATCCGTTTCTAACTTCATAAATATTTCGTTATTTTATTTTTCATATATAATATAATTTAAATCACATTCTTTTTGAAGTTTATAATTCATATCACATTGTTTGGCCAAAAAGAGGCTTAGGTTAGTTATTTATCAATGTGTTGATCCTTAAAAAATATGTGCTGATCTCATGCACTCTCGGATGATGTGAGGAGCATCCCAATTCCCATGGATGTTTTGCATGATTAAGATGATCGAGAGAGCCACACAAATTTTATTAAAGGAAAATGAATATTTTATTATTATTAGATTTAAATTTATATCCTAAGGTATATAGAACGTTTAATTCTTAACTTGGACAAGTGCAATAAGGATCAAACTAATCTTCAAACCAACTTAACGTTTTCTATGGTCATAGTAAATGACTGATCTCCAACCACTTAGTCATGCAGCTCTGGTCATGAAAGCATCCACGTCTCCGTGGACCAACTCATTGAATCAAATGACGCATTCTTGTTTTGACCAAAGACCCACCCCCAATTCCCCCTTCTTCGATGGAAGACATCTTTTCATTATCATCCCATTTAATCGTTTTCAAACCTTGAGTCGATCACCTACTTGCAAGCTCGAAATCCATCGTTGCTTCATCGTCACTCTTCATCATTATTCATATTCATATCAATACCCATTTCGACTTCGACTTCCATCTTAATTACTTTACGTCTAAGGTTCATTGGCTCTATTTGCATCCCTTATAGAACTCGAGATCTCAGGAAAAACAATGATCTCATTGAATTGTTAAGTGGCTCCCGACTTGGGAACACTATGGAAACAATGATGTCTTGATGATTTTCTTCAGGAAAAAAAACAAGTTTGGACGATGAATCATGATTTGTTTCTGCGTTTTGAGATGAAATGGAACAGAACTGTATAACTATGTGAAAAACATCAGGTGGGTTCTTTGGAACTTTCTCGCAAGACATCTCGTTCTCGTCTAATGTTGATGTCATAACAGAAAACCATAGGGTGTTTCTTTTTAGGTTTTGATATCATTCTTTTCAAGTAAACATTTTATTTGTAATCGAAGAGATAATTTTTTTTTTATAATCACGTGTACTTAGTTCGAGTATTATAAGGAATCCAATGAAGAGTTGGAGTGAGGAATTCAATAATGATTAGAAAAAGAATTTTATTGGAAGCATGATTTTCGGATAAAACTGAACAAATAGGTATAAGATGTGACCTTGATCCATTAGTAATTTTTAATAATTCTTTAATTAACAATTTATAATTCATACTTAAATATTTTTATAAAAGCAGAAGAGAATATAAATCAAAATATCCTCTCTAGACAGTGCTCGGATGTTTCTGTCGCAAATTTAACTGTTACAAAGCCGAGGAAACATCGTCAAACTTTCAGAAATAATAAAATTACATCCTCTGTCATTATTCATAGGTTTCTTTCCTCAAATGTAAAAGCTAAAGGGGGGTGGGGGGAGGAGGATGATAAGTCATCGCACTTAAACTTACAATGCACCGTTACTCTCTGTTTTCAAGTCCTGCAAGCAAAACTAGAAATTTACTTGATAGTAATTTTTATTTTTTGAAAATAGATAAGACAAACAGCAGTGAATACAAATTATATACCAGCAGGAAAACTTACCCCTCTTCAGAGCTCATCTTTAACTGGTTCTTGAGGAACAGTCTTGTCCCTGTTCTTTTCGATGAAGTCGATGATGTCTTCCTTGGTCCTATCACCATCATATGGAGTTATGTTTCCGTCAGCTGATCTGAAGTAAACGGTTGGGAAACCTTTAACATCAAAGTTCGGATTCTCAATATCGTTTGCAGTTGCATCCTACAAAGAGAATTTGGATAAAAAAAAAGCAATTACTTCACCAAAGTTAGGTCATTTAACATGCAAGAATATGTCATACACAAGAGGTGCAGGTTCCAACAATGAGGAATGTAGTAGAAACGGAAACCTTCAAAATCAACGAGTATAGAAACTTACAAGTTTTGCAATCAAAACTTTAGCATCATTTTCATATTGTACAGCAACTTCATCCAAGATTGGTGCCAATTTCTGACAATGTCCACACCAGGGAGCATAAAACTCCAGCAAGACTGTAGAAAGAAAAAAAACTCCATGTCTTAGTAAAGACGATACATGACGATTCTGCTAAAGAAAATTGCATTTGAAGATGGTAAACATGGGTGTCATGTAACATGACTACCAATATAGCAAGGGGGAGAAAATCATCAAGCAGAGCAAAAAACACGAACCATTTTTTCCCGATTTGAAAACCATGTCTTCAAGGGTGTCAGCGACAACCACTTTCACAGGTTCATTATTCTCTACGGGAATAGGTTCAGATTTCACATATGGTGGAACTTTTCCTTCCTGCAAAGCAGTACTTCAGTCAAATAAAAAAGAGAACACTCAAAAATATTACACAACTCGGGGGCAGTTATCATATCACTAAAACCATGACTTGAACATTGCAGTTCTACAATCCAATACCAAAAAATTACATAAAAGTCACCTTGTAATCCTTAAACCATGATGCGATGTCATCAGCTTCCACGTTCGCCTTCAAAAACTTCTTCTCATCTTTATTCAGAATGATCACAAGAGGTGCTTGGCTTTCTTTAACTCCAAAATACTGTTTCGCAGTCAACAGAAAAATTAAACTACAACAAGAATTGGACTTAATTAGAAAATCAAGGAACTGTCACGTTAGAGTAGATGCTAACCTGGAAGGCAGATTGACTGGCCTCAAGATCTCCCAAGAGGAAGCCAATGCCCTGTCCTTTGTATTGCTCAGCAACTTCACGGAATTTAGATTGTAAGGATTCAACACCTTCACTGCTCAAGTTTGCGAACAACATAGCCTACCATATTAAAAAATCCTATTATAAGATGAACTAGAAGGATGTGTGGAACAAATTATTATACTTTATTACCTTCAAAACAAAATGATATTAGAATGAAGAACAAGAAAATGAAAATTGTGTAATTTACCTTGTCATGAGGATTGTTGTAGAATTTGATAACAAAGGGGTGGTTGCTTGGGTCACTGTTAAAGACTGTCACAAGAGGAATGCTAGATTCTTCAACAAACTTCTCTAAAGCTTCCACGTTAAAATCCTGCAGCCAAATAGCTTCTGAATAAATAGCTAATAGCAAATGGTAAAAAGCTATATAACATAAACACAACTTATATTTTAATGACGATGTAGAATACAGTAAGATTTCCAGATTACCTTAAAGTCAACAAATAGTTCATCAAAAGGCTTGAAAAGTCTGACCACAGGGCCAGTAACAGATGATTCACCTCGTGGAAGGTGTTTAGCATCAGAAGTATGACCAAATTCATAGTCAGAACGCAATTTTTCAGCAAAAGCAATATAGCTCTCGAACTCTTCACCAGAGAATTTAGGGAAGACCCCAACCTAGAGACAATTTAGAGACATATCAGCTAAATTTCACAATGAAATCCTAAAGAAAATGGAAAAGCAAAGTATTATCAAATAACTTACAATTACAATCTTCTTGTCACCAATAAAGTTACTGGCATCTTCAGCAGACTTGATTTCAGTTGAAGCAGGACCGGTTTGTTTCTTCAAATACTCCACAATACCGTCGGCTTCACGTGGACCTTTGTATTCTTGAACATTCTTTCCTCCATTTCTCAAAATTTTAAGAGTTGGGAATCCCCTGACTTCATATTCATTTGCTAAACCTTTGTTTGCTTCCTCATTGGCATCAACTTTAGCGAGGGTGATTGGAGGATCATGTTTACTCAATATAGATGCTGCTTTCTCATACTATACAACAAGTCAACAAACAAGAAGTTCGTTGTCACTACACAACAAAGAGTACGAATTATCAATCAAAATTCAGCAGTTCATGGAAAATCTAATTTCATTTACCTCTGGAGCAAGATTCTTACAGTGCCCACACCTAAAAATAGATGTCAAAGGAGGCTATTTAGTGCAGAGAAGGTAAGCAAGGACTAAAAACGCATATATTGAGGAAAGATTCACAACGATATTTTCATTTAAGAAAACAAAAGGAATTGTAAATCACAAAACAGAGAAATGAAGTTAAATCTCTCAAGATTGAAGCATGTCATAGCTAATCAAATAATCATTGTACAAAACAAAAGTCAAAAAATATTTTATGAATGAAAAACAAATAAATAATAACAAGCCAAAAGGATCCAGAAAAGCAGCCTGGTATTACAAAATTTGTCTATAAAAATTTTCATATACCATAAATAAAAAAACATGAGCAGATTGTACTAAAAAAAATCAAAAATCAAAATTCAACTACCTACCAGATCCAAACCTCATTTAATTACCAAAATATAGAACAAAAGAAAGCATGAGCAACTCAATTATCTATAACTACGCTACTCGGACTAAAAGATGAGTGTCGGAGAAGGGTACTTCAAGGAAAATAAAAGTCAGACAAACATAGATCAAAATTGCCATATCGGCATTAATAATATCAAATCATATTCCATGTATAAGCATAGAATCAACAAGTCTCTCGCTGCTGCAAAAGGAAAATTATGCTGTTTTGGCTTTCCATAACGAATCTATTTCAATACCTTTCATATAAACAAATGACAGATTGCAAACTACGAATTCTATTTTTCATAAAAACTGCTACTTTCAACCAAACAATCCTATGATTGCAGATCTTAATTCTTAACGACTTGAATCAAAATATTTCCTGGGAAATATAAAAATCAAAGTAAAACGCACAAAAATCTTCAACAGAAAAGAATTATCACTTATATAGCATTGAATTTTTAACAAATTATTAGACCGGATTTATCGGATCTGAAATCGGCTACAAAACTCATAGCATGAACTTAAAAAATAAACATAAACGTCTTTAAAAGCATGCAAATCTAAATTAAAAGGGAAATGAAACATAGAAAAGTTTACCAAGGAGCATAAAACTCAACGACGATGAAATCGTGCTTACTGACAGTATCGGTGAAGTTGGAATGATCCAAAGTCAAAACAAACTCTTTCGATTCGCCGCTCTCTTCAGCTAAGATCGCCGTTAGAGAGCAAGCTATGACGGCCAAAGCAAACCAGACAGAAACAGTTTTCGCCATTCCCGGAGCTCTCTTTCTGTTTTTCCTCACTTATTTTGCCTTTCTCTTCTCTTTCGTTTGAGATTTATAGGGTTTTGAAGTAGTAACAGCGAAGGAGTTTCGAGAGTGAAGGAGACAAAAAACAAGAGTTCGTATAGATCACGCTCTCGAAACGCAATGACAACCTACGCGCTTCATACGCCGTTGATCTCAACGTGGAATATAATCTATGGATTTTATTCGTCTGATTTGGAGAAAAAATCGAAAAATAAGGAAAGTATATCCAATTTTTTAAATTTGTCGAGATTTTCTTTTGGTGGGGATGATGCTAATCTGTAATACCGAACCAATCGGACATTGCACGTTTGTTTTTGTATTTTTTAATTAGCTTTGTTATTATTTTAGCCCGTGAGTTTTGGATCTTATAAAATTATTTAATTAAATCGCGACTCAAACATAAAGTGCACCGTTTTATGTTTGCGTTAGTCTGTGATGCATATATTTGCCTTTTTAGCATTGAATATACAAAGAAAAATAAATTATCTGAATCAAACGGTCTTTATTAGATTTAATTTAATTTTAATTTAAAATAAAAGGTTTTGATCTAATTTGATTTAAATTAGATTATAAAAATACGTGTATATATAATATATAATTTTGAATTTTCTCGCCACCTAATTTTCCTTTCCGATTTCTTTTTCTTTTGAATAATGTCGGGAGAAAAAACTTGAAAAATAGTGTTATGCATGTGAATCAATTCCTTTCTTTTATAATTCACATTTTGAATCTTACTGGGTGACATTTGATTGTTTTTTAAATTAAAATTAAAATAATAATAATTTAATTTAATTTGTTAATCAACGAAATCAAATATATTAACTATTATAGCGTTGATGTGATAGTTCACGATGTTGATGAGATGATTTATGACGTAGTAAATAGGTTAAATTAATTTTTATCAAATTTGATGGTCAATTTATTTTAGAAAATTTGAGATTTTATTTAATATTTGTAAAAAAATTATTTTAAATATAAAATATAAAAATGCTTACACATTAAAAATATTAAATATAAAAATATTAAAAAAATAAAATATTATTAGAAAATAAAAATAGTAAAAACATCATTAAAATTAAAAATAATTATAAACTGTAAATTAATAAATTACTATTAATTACTCAAGAGAATAAAAAACATAATAGTTAACATGCCATGATCACTCTTGTCTCTTGGTGGAGTGTTTACCCTTATTTTCTTTCTTTCTTCCTTTCTTCTTTTTTTTTTTTTTTTGTTACAAAAAGAACCACTAAAACTAGTGGAGAGACCTTCTTCTAAGCTCTGCGATATCAGCAAGGATTAGGCGATGAGCATCAGCAGTAGGGTGGTCCAAAACAGTGCATCCCAGTTGCAGCAGTCTAATGGTTTTAGCTAGACTATCAGCCACGGTATTCGCCTCTCGGGGAATGCAGCTGACCGATACCGTCCAAGGACGGTTTAAGTAGTCTCGGATTCTTCTAACAACAGCCGACTCATAGATGGAAGGTGGCGAATCAATGCATTTAGCGACTTCCCTGCTATCGACCTCCACGCAAAGCTGAGTGATGCCGAGGGACCACGCGAGATCAAGACCGTAAAGAACACCCCAAAATTCAGCCTGGGTTGCTGAACATCGACCAATATTCGTACAGAAACCGAAAATCCAATCTCCATTGCTATTCCAAATAATATTTTAATTATGGTGTTCAAGATATAATGGATGGTCAAATTATATATATATATTTTTTCTGTTACTAATACCATATATTGATTCTTACTATTAAAAGAAGCCAACCTCTAGGTTATGGTAATTATACAACGAAGCCTGGAACTTGCCTAAAAATGAGAGATTTTTTTATGGATTATTGATTAGCTTTTTACGTCAAAACAAACTTATTAGTAAACCCTAAACCACCTAGCTAAGGCTTGTCAACACAAGTAGGGAACTATAGCCCGGACTAACAAGTTTGGCAAACTATATTAATACTTGGCTTCCCCAATATGACAGCCTGTCTAGATATTTTAACTAAACATTTGGTTGTTTTGAATGTTGATATATTGGTATGTCTGGATAACTAAAATCCATAAATAATTGGTGCCATTGTAACGTATTTGATATATAAATTTGCAGCACACCTACAGAAGTGAAGAAAAGAATCAATAATTTTAATATTGTACCATGGCTTTCATATCTACAAAAAAAAAAAACAGAAATAAACCATCTGTTATAAGCTTCGAAGAATTAGAGTTAAAAAAACATATTTAGAAAAGAAAAATCACGTACCGACATTGAGGATTCTAGGGTTCTAGGTATTGAAACTAAATTCCACGAGAAAGTGATTTGATTTTAACAATTTGAGATTAAATGACGAAGCAGAAGACTTGACGGAGACTTGAATATGGCCTGGAAACTGGAAGTCACTCCAGTTCTTCTCAAGCTCCAAGCTTTAATCCAATATTTGCGGGCCGGGCTTTGGACAATCGATCCGTATTATTTTCATATCGAATCTATCCCGATATATCTAATATATTACAAAATTAGTTGTAACATATATTCTTAAATTATAATTTTTATTTGAAATAAATCTTTAAATTTTCTAAAATTTTAATTCAAATTAATTTATAAACTTTTAAATATTATAAATTAATCTTTAAACTACAATCTCATTTTATATTGATTTCCATAATTTTGAAGGTTTCAATAATATCCCTTTAAATCGTCTAAAATTGAGAGACAAAATTAAAGAATTCAAAAGTGTAAATGTCTAACATATAATGAAGATCATGCATGAACCAAACTAATTCAATGATTAAAAGGATTATTGTTATCCCTAATAGTCTCAGATTTGAGCACCAGAGACATATAAGAGTGATTAAACTTTCATTGTCAAATAATTGAGAATCTTAAGAACAAATAATACATTATAGTTACAATTACCTAAATTAATAAAAAAGATATAAGATCATAATTTGAAAACACATTTAAAATGTAAAAAAAATGAATACTAATATAAAACGAGATTCATAATTTGGTTATTAAATTAAAATATTTAAAAATTTAGTTTAAAATAAAAGTTATAATTTAAAGACATATAATATAATTTAGAAATTTACTCTATAAAACGAGATACACAAATAAAATAGGAAACAATCCTATGATATGGTAAAGTATTGGTAGTTGATATTCATTATTGCTTGACACGTCAATCTAATCATACCAGTTATTGTGTTAACAGAAAAAAATTAAATTTCTCAGCCGATTTTTTTTTCATTTTAACCGACATCACTAAATCATTAATTAAAATTCATTTCTTAATACAAGATCATATATTTTTTTGGTAAACAAAAGAAAACGAATCCTCTAGTTTCGACTGTTCACACTATCTCCAAGCAGGGGCGGCAAAAGTACATTCGGCACTGTGTAGAATGTCTTTCCTGTAAAGTCGTCCTTGAGAACCAGCTTGGTCGCACCATCGGCTAGCATATTCGCGTCACGTCTCACATGAGAAAAGGAGATATTCCAACTCCAACTCAACAACTCCTTGATATGCATCAAAACTACCAGTGAATTTCCTTGTCTACACAGATTGTGTAACACCTTGAACACTTCCGCATTATCCGTTTCCACAATTAAGGAGCGGTCACTAATATTCCAAGCATGTTTCAGCCCCTAAAACGCACCCCAAAGTTTCGCTTCAAAAATAGAGCATATCCCAACAGCTCACGCGAAGCCGAATTCCGAATCTCCCTCACTATTACGGATGACACCTCCACACGAAGCGTTCTCGTTCTTGTCTCTAGCACCATCCACATTTAATTTCAGCCAACCTAGTGGAGGAGCTGCTCATGTGCGCCGACAAGGAGTAGCTTGTACCACTCGGGTTATGATGTTCATATCCTCCACTGTACACAAGCTTTCCTCATAAAGGTGAATACTTTTCTCCATAACCGAAGTAGAACCCAATTTATCTTTGTCAAAAACACAAAGATTTCAATGCTTCCAGAGATTCCATACAATTGCCCCGAACAAACTCCATTCCTTGGACTCCCGTCCAAACTGATTCGAATTTAACAAGTTCGCTAACAACCAAAAGCGAAAATCCATAGACAAAAATTCATTAAGAAACATGGGATGTATTCACCGCTTCCATGCCTCTAACGCCGTCGGACAAGTTCGAAAAAGATGATATGTCGACTCCTCCGCAGCATCACAAACCCAACAATTAGGAGAGTGACTGATATGTCGACGAACCCGCTCCGAATTAGTGAGCAATTTATCACTAGCAAGCAACCAAAGGAAAACTTTCACCCGAGGTAGCCCTTTAAACTTTGCAATAGTATTCAATAAAATGTCTACCGAACCCACCTCTGCAGCTCTTCCAAGTTCATACGTTGAACTCACTGTGAACAAACGATCTGGCCTCCATTTCCAACTAATTTTATCGTTCTCCTGCACCTTGTCCGGAGTCATTGTAGCCATCAATCTATAAATTATTTTCCGGAGAAGAATGTTATTAATCAAGTGTCAATTCCACTCCCCATGTTCGTTGACCATATCCGCAACTGCAGTGATCGGTAAAGCCACGACCACATTCCAATCTGCAACATGATCCATCAACGGCCCAACGTTGCCCAAACAGGGGTCTCTCCAGAAGTCTATTTGCGATCCATCGCCAACCATCCAGACAAGACTCGATCTCACCTTTTTCCATACTAAGCTTACTCCTTTCCATAAGCTCCAGGCATTCCTCTGGGAAATATCAAGAGGTGCAATTCCGTTCTATCTGTACTTTGTCTGCAACACTTGCGCCAATAATTGATTTGGCTTGGTCACCAAATTGAAGGCAATTTTCATTAAAAACGCAAAATTTTGCCTCTCTAAATGTTTGAAATCAAGTTCTCCTTCAGAGATAGGAGCATAGACACTATTCCAATGAACATGGTTTATCCCCTTACCGGGTTCAGATCTTCCCCAAATGAAGCTTCTAATTATCTTCTTAATCTCTCCGCAAATACCTTTTGGAAGTAACGTGCATTGCATCGAATAATACAGAATTGCCGATAAGATCGACTTTGCCAATGTGATTCTGTCAGCAAATGACAATTTTTTTTG